CAGTTGTGCCTAGGGACATGAGTATGCCATACTTTTTGTCTGTATTGTGTGTTCCTTGTGGTTGGAACACTACAATTTATTGTGCATCCAAAAGTTTACCTTTTTCTTAAACTACAATAAATTTACTGCTGCTGAGCAGTCCTGAATTATAGTTATTTCTTAAGTCACTTCTCAATGATTTGTCCTTTGTATCCATAAATCCATATTAGTTTTCACTAATAGAGATTTATTTTCCTTAGTAAGGACTTAAAATGAGAGAAGAGTAATTATCACATCTTGAAATAAAAGTAGAAGGGCAAAAACAGTTTTTTTTTTTCTTAAGAGCTTTGAGTAGGTGCATGAGGTGCAGGTACAATAAATTAATATTAATGTGCTATTTTTCTTGTTTGTCAGTTGAACCCCAGGATAACTGGGAAGTAAGAAAAATTTCTCGAGCAGCCCAGAAGGGATTTAATAAGGTTGTGATACAGCATTTAAGAAGAGCAAAGACTTCATTGGTAAGAGCACTAATTCAGAATTAAATGTGAATTTATCACCTCTCTCTGCCTCCCTTTCTCTCTTTTACATATACGTTTTTCTGAGAGTTATTTGGACGTTAGATCAGTACAATGATCCAGTTCTACAGTATGGCCCAAAAAGCTGTTCAGTGAGCACAGCTGGAAAGGTGTCGTATTTTAGGATGAGAACGGGAATGAAGCAGGAGAAGGGAAAGGGGACTGAAGAAATCTTTGAAGTCTGCACATCAGTGTCACACTGATGTATCATGGAAACAAAAATGTAACTCCCTACACTTAAAATCAGATCCTAGCTTTGCAGTGTTTAGTTTTAAAATAGCGTGTTCTGGAAGTGTAAGGTGTTTTTTGGATAGGTGCATAGTCTTAGAAGTTAAGTATTGCTGGTCATTTTGGCCAATGGCTTCTCAAGCTGCTAGGAAAAAGAATAATGTTATATGTTCCAGTGTGCAAACTAATTTGGAATAAACTTTTTTTTAGGCATGTAACTAATAGTTAATCCTATTTGCATTGTGTATCTTTTTCCAACCTAGTGGTGGTCTTGAAACAAAAAGCATTAATCTTCCATCCCACAAAGGCTCCTAGAGGCTTTTGAAAATCACTTGACTACTTACATGTAGATACAAGTTCTAAACTTTAAATTATTGGATTAAAACAAGTGAAAAGAGAAGTTTTTACTTCAGATTTCTTTCCATTTTATAGACTATGACATCATTCTGTGAGTGTGTAGTATCTGTGATGATAAAACTTTAACCTTTACTTGAGAAACGGCAGCTGAAAGATCCCAAAATATGATGATCCAGAGGGCAAAGGAACTCAGTATGTAAAATACATATACATATGTTAAATGCTTTCCAGTGTTCCCGTCTTCTGCTTATTGAATCAAAACTGTTCTATCGTGTGATGCTCTTCCCCTCCCCACAGGTTCTTCGCTCCTCCCTTTCATCCCTGTGTTAAGAAGGACCATAAATCCTGCATTCACTTTGTAACCAAGTCATTTATATGCAGAAGTAACTCTTCCTTTACTGTTTTTATTAATCTCTTGAATTGTTCAGGTTGGTGATCCCTCCTTGGAAGCAGTAAGGACTAGAGTGGCACGGCTTCTTGGATCTTTGGGAGGGCAGATCAACCACAACTTAATTACAGGTAACTGTCCTAAAAATATTTACATGCCTCTGCTCTCTCTCTTGAGAGTTGATTTCAGTGAGGTCTCAACATCACTTTGTGAAAATGCATGAACTTACCAAGATAAGCTAGCTTTTGTTGCTCTTTTCTAAACAGAACTGCTTTCCTTTTACTCTGTTTGGCAGTTCAGGAGGGCAAAGTATTAACTAACTTGCTGTGCAATGGAAAAAGGGCATAGAAATCTTCAACCCATGTTTGGTTAAATGCAAAGCATCGTATGCATCTGAGGATATGGTTTGATTTATTTCCTCCCTGCATCTTCACCCTCTGGCTGCAAAGCCGTTTTAAGACTTTGCCATAGTTTGCATCTCTTGGGCTCCTGTTCATACCTCTTTACTACAATTCTCCTGTAATCCAGTTTTGCAGAACTGCAGCCTGTGAATTCCTATGTAAATCTTCGTAAGCCTACTTACTGACTTGAGTTTAAGGGTGTGCTGTAGGTCCAAATATTAGTGCTCCATTTGGGTACCTCCTCAGAAAAACTTGTTTTCTGTTCTGTGCATAAGCGTTATAATTATATTATTAAATACTAGAAAATGTAACTAACAGAAGAATGGAAAAGCATACTGTGAATACCGGACCATGAGCTTTAAAGGGATGAGTTCAACTCAAAATTTAGTCTATCTAAAAATTAATTTAGTTATATAAAAGCTTTATTCCTTCTTTTACTGCTTACATTAGGTTTTTCTGTTTTTACAATCACTTCTTTTTCCGCCAAATACTTCTCTGCTGCTTATTCAGAAATAGTCAGGGAAAGTAACATGTTATTCCTTGGAAATGAAGTAAGAATCGTAGTCAGACTTTCTTAACAAATATGGGAATATAGGGAGGGAAGGGAGTAAGTATGGCAGTTCCCTTAAGGTATAGGCCTTGAAGTAGTGGTTCTCTCTGCAGCTGCAGGGTTCCGTATGTTGGATCTGCTTGTCTGAGCTGACCTTCAAGTGTTGTTTATAATAGTCGAAGTCAAAACTAATATATTGGACGTTGCAGAAAAGTGTTTTAAATCAAGTGCAGTTCAATGCCTTTTGACTTTGTAATCATCTCCAAACTTGTTTCTATTGAAATTCAGGCTGTGGCAGCCTGAAAAGTTGACTGCAAGTATTTTTTCCATGGGATGGCTGAACATCTATTTGGCTATACAAATAAAACCAGCCCTCTAGATACTTCTGGTGCTTGTAACATCCAATAATTTATATGGCATTAATGTTTTCTGACAGTTCAACTGAAGTTGGAGGAATACAGATTTTTTGACTAAGCTATGGACGTATTTGTTTTGGGTGTGCATTGCATTTATATGCTAAATAAAGCTTATTTTTGGTTTTGATCTTTTTCAAATGCATTAGCTACCTCTGCAGAAGAGATGATGAAGAAATGTGTATCCTGGGACACTGAGAAGCGTCTGAGCTTTGCTGTACCGTTTGCAGATATGAAGCCAGTCATCTACTTGGATTTATTCTTACCTCGTGTGACTGAATTGGCTCTTTCTGCTAGTGACAGACAAGCAAAAGTATTGATGTGATTTTTTTTGCATCTTTGTTTATGCTACCTGATAAATACTACATAAAATAATATCTTCCTTGTTAAGAAAGAGCTGTTTTAACTAAATCACAGGTGGCTATGTGCTTCTTCGGTGCTCTTTCATAATGATAGAATTCTGAGCGTTTAAAAAACAAAGAGAAATTGTTGCTGCAAGCTCTATCAGACAGCCTTGTGCTTTGATAGTTAGACTTAGCCTAAAAATGAAAATTTTCAAGTGATTGATCTACAGTGCAGTTTGTCCTCCTTCCCATGCCTAGCCTATGAGTGTGTGGCCTCAGTCCAGCAAAGCACTTAAGTAAATATTTTCCTACTGTGGTGGATTGGGATGTTGATGTCCAAAAGCAGTCCAGAACAAAGATATTCTTGAACATGCAATGGTGACTTCTGCGGTGATGAATTTCTTTCCAGCTGACAAGGGGTTGTATGGTGATAGAGACTGTAATGTTAGGAGAAAGGCCAGGTAGAGTGTGTGTGAATTATTTGCATGGACATCTGTCCCTCGAATAGTGATGTAGCGTAGGTTGGAGTGATTGCTTAAGTATGTTCTTTAGACTCCCTTCTCTCCTGCGCCCAGTTTTCTGTTCTCCGTGGAAGCAATGGATGCATAATCAAAATGGATTTTTAAATTCCAGGTTGCAGCATGTGAACTGTTGCATAGCATAGTTGCATACATGTTGGGGAAAGCGTCTCAAATGCCAGAAGGATGTCAAGGTCCCCCTCCCATGTATCAGTTATACAAACGAATATTTCCAGTACTGCTTCGTCTTGCTTGTGATGTAGACCAGGTAAACAGGTTCTCTTATAAGCATTTTAGCTCTCAATGTGGAATTTCAATTATAATTGTACTTTAGAAATTATCCTGACATATGTTACCTTTTTATTTAGTTAGTTATTTTCAATTGTAATGCGTCTTATAATCTGAAACTATTTCCCTGTTTTAGAGATAGTTTTCCAGGATTTCTGAAGGGGAAAGTAGAGGCCTTTTCAAGGCCTCTGATAAAGGAGTGCAGTCCAGAGTAACTCGCAGGAGTAGACAGTATTCATAATATTGGGGAGAAATTGATTATTTCATTATTGAATGGTTGCAAAAATGCAACCTACAGAAAAAGCATTTTGGGAAAGAATTCATATATGAGAATGAAGTACACGCATCCCAACTTGATATTTCTCCTCCTTGACAGCAAAACAGAATTGAAATCTTTGTGGCAGATAGGGTCAGCTCCATTTAAATTAAAGGTGTTGTGCCTGTTCCGACTACTGTTTGGTCCCGGGCATGGAGATTCTAGTTTTAGACCAGAGGGACTTTATTCTGCTAAAATCTACAGAAAACTTACCAGTTTTGATGAAACCATTTTTGTTGGCATATAGCTGAACATAAACTTGAGTTAAATTATATCTGGACTGGTCCATATAAATGCACACAGGCATACACACTATGTATATATGCATTTATGTATATGTGTATATTTCATATTTTTTTCCTTCATTCCACTACAACAATATTTGATCAAGTTAACTTACAGGTAGACTTGTTGAAATCTAGCGAATTAGAATAAAGTACAAGGTAAAGATTATGCGAGATTTAAGATCAAAACACAGTTTAAAAACAAACGTCCTTGTTTGGTTATCTGTGTATTATGGTATCAGTCAATGGCATGTAGTATTCTTTCTCTCAGAGTATCTTTCTGAAAGTAAACTTGGAGAACTTTTGAGACTAGTTGAATAAAAAGCAGCTAACCAGATGTATTTTTTTTAATCATTGGTGAGAGAATGTAATATGAAGTTGATTATTTCTTTAAAAAAGTGTCTGTAAAATGAATACTATTTTTATTTGCCATTTCAATAGCAAAGTAGCATAGAAATATATTAATTCCAGAAATGTAGTTTGTTTTTAATCTTTTCAGGTAACAAGACAGTTGTATGAGCCTTTAGTTATGCAACTCATTCACTGGTTTACCA